TTATACACTGGGATACTGGAGCTGAAGTACCCAGAAGGTTGCCCCAGGCCAGTCGTCAGGTGTGTGAGAGCCCAGTCACACCTGACTAGCCTGACTCCGAAGCTCACCTGTATGGGTAGATAGACGGATGTTAGCAGAATAGTCAATTTTTGAAGCATCATAAATCTAACCCCCAAAATGATTGTTTGTGAGCAGTTTTCATGCAAACAAAGACTTAGAAGGTCACATAACAGTGTGTCCAAGTTTCCCAAGATAAAAGACACACAAAAAAGAAGGTATTTCGTTAAGTGAATACTGGATCGCAAACACTTGGTAAGGTGAACACAACTTTATATTAATATAAAGCCTAGATCTAGGACCACAGGTGCAAAAATAGTTTCTTAGTAAAACCAAGGTAGTTTCACCCCTCTTCCTGTGTAAACGCTGTGCATACATGGCCTTTCTGAAAACAGTTTTATATCTGCCCGTGTTTTCCTCAGACACACAGTCAACACTGACAGTCTCAGTCCACCAATATCCTTGTTTTTTTGTACTTCTTCTATACCTCAGTGGTACCTACAATAAGTAATTTTCTTCAAGCAAGTAAAGAACAGACTGACTGATAGATGTTTTTCCGTGCCTTGGGAAATAACCTTTTCAGATTAGCAGTAGAATCATTAGGTATCTTCAGAATTAGAATCTCTCATTGTGGTTATCTGGATTTGTGAGATTAACTATCACTCTTGGGGCAACCAGAGATGTGAAAAATATATTTGTAAAATGTGGCTGTTGCTGGGTGTGGTGGTACACACCTGTAATCCCAGCACTTGGGAGGCTGAGGCAGGAGGATCATTACAACTTTGAGGCCAGCCTAGGCTACAAAGTGCTCAAGGTCAGCCTGAACCACGTAGCAAGACCCTGTCTCAAAAAGAAAAAAAAAAAAAAAAAATGTGGCTGTCAGCAAAAATAATGCCCCACAGACTAACATGTTTGCCCGGGGCCAAGCACTATGTATCTAGTATAAAAACTTGTAACAAATCAGCTGACAGAGTTTGGAAGTCCTCAGGCACATAGGGCTTGGCAAATGAAACATATTTCCTATACATATTTAATGAGGAACCAGTTTTATTTCAAGTAATTTCTCTAATTACCCTGAAGACCATGATTTAGGAAATCCTACATTGGAAAAAAATGATGTCTTAGGACAGATAGGCTTCACAGCCTTGAAAAAGAGAAAAGTTAACATGCTTGTGTTCCACTGAATCTGCTGTATACGTTCCTGGTCTGTTTATAGGTGTGTGTCCCCAGAATGGTTTGTTTTCATATTGCCTTAATGCTTTAAAATGAAAGAAAATGGTATTAGAAAACATGCATATTGAATAACTTACATGATACCCTAACATTCTGCAATCTTAAAATAAATTGATGAATGTTAGGTCCTAAGACCAATTTCTTTTTTCATGAAAAATAGTTCTATTAATCTAGACAGATATATTTATCAAACTATGTTGAACACATGGGTATATACTTATTGTGATACTTTATCTATTTAGATATAAATACACAGACACCTTTACATAACAAGTATGTTACAACCAAGATTCATTTATGTTTTTCCTCCCACTGTTTCTCTGAACCTGATTAGGTGGTAACAGTCTTCTTCAGATGCTGCAGGGAAGCTCTAGCAGGCCCGGGAGTTTGAGTCTTTCATGGGTAATGGACACTTCTAAACTTCCGGGTACCAATGCAGTCTCAAATGAGAAAACGGAAACTGCATAACTACGCAGTTGTACTGATCACACTTTTGTCCCTTCTGCACTGGATTACCTCCCCAGCTCAGCCCTGCTCTAGACTGGAAGCTTGGAATGGAAGGACGGGCAGGGAGATATTCTCCTACTCCCCCCACCGACCCCCAGCCCAGTCTTACTAGATAATGTTCTGACTTTTTCAAGGCAGAAAAGGTTAAGGAAGAGGCCAGCCTCTCCCTTGTGCTGGCTCTGTTATAAGCTGGCTTTGCTGTCTCTGGGCCTGGCAGGTAGATTCTGTTGACACTCTGTCTTTTGGGGAGAACTCTGCGGAGATTACCTGCTGGGTCCTTCTCTCACTTCACTAGACCCAGACCCACTCTCGTGTGGTTGTTTGCTGACTCTGGACTGAGCCCGGGGACATGCTGTCTAGCAGTCCGCCTTGGACTTTCTATGCTGTGAGGCCGACACTTCAGTTATGATTAAAAGACTTTGTACGGACTCTCTCCTTAGCACCATGTAGAGTTAGTAGCCAGGAAAGACCCATCTCTGGCTCTCACAGTCTGGGAAATGCCAGCAAATTCCCAGGCAACAGCATGTCTACCAAGGCAGTTGGCCAGCACCTCCTCATCCTGCTCCCAGAGTTTCTAGGGTGAATGGGCCCCTGTGCATGATCCACTCAGAACTGCTCAGGATTCACTCAGATAGCACATGTGAGTCTTCCAACAGCAAGAAGCAGCACTCAGATCTCTCTGGTTCGTCCTCTTGGTGACCTGTCAGAGCTTGGCATTGTAAGCTTGCAAACCCCACTTTTTCTCCAAAGGGGGCAGTGACAACTCCCTGTGTGCCTACAGCTTTCTCCAGAGAACCGTCTTCCCTAATTTCCTCTCAGCCCTTATATATCTTAATGCCAAGGACAAGAATCATGACTTTCCATACACGGGGTACTTGTCTTTTGAGAGCTTCATTATAGGTGCTTCATTAAAAACTGAGACAAGGGTTGGGGTATAGCTCAGCGGCACAAGCACCTGCCTAGCAAGCGCAAAGCCCTGAGTTTGATTCCCAGTACCAAAGAAGTAAAAATAAAAAATAAAAATTGAGACAAGATGACAACCATTCTTGCATCTACTGTCTACATCCCTTGGATATATATGCATGTACATAATATTTTATCTTGCACTTTCTATACCAACTTCAAATTGCAAAGAGTAACTTAAGAGCCAAGGACCCCCACCCCAACAATAATCTCCAGCTCTCACTACTCCGCTGATCTATGTAGTGATGATCTTTATAAACGATTCCCAAACTAAAAGCTTACCTTGAGAATTTCTCAATCCATATGCTCTCAGGTTAGAATAAATAAAACCTACTTGAAATGTGTGGACTTCAAACAGTTTCCAAACATATCCCTCACACATTACATTACTTCCAAATTACTAGCTATTGGTGACATGCCTGACAGTGCTCTAAATTTTTCAACTTTTAGAAGAACTCAGATGCTCAAAAAGAACTTTACCAAACTCGGGTACTTGTTTTTTAATGGAATGATTTTAAATATTCTCTAACAACTGGCTCAGAGTCACATTAAAAAATACCTACTTGGCTGTATTCACAACTAAGGGGATTGATAATTACCAGAATAAACTAACAAATTTCCACCACTTATAACATGAATTGGAAGTACTGCATGGCCAAGAATTTTTTTAAGTACATATAAAATGCACATATACACAAATACATATTTAATCCCCAAATGAATAAAGTGGCATTAAATCCGATTAATGTTCAACTGAGAAAGAATTGTGTAAATTCCCTAAATTTAAAAAGTCTAATAGTTCAGTCAGATGTCTGACCATCAAAAGCAAGGTTCTCACAAGTAAAATGCCTTGGATCTATTCACAATAAAATATACAGCACTTTCAGGTTCAGGTCCACGAATTTTTTTTTTTCACCTATTAAGTGCAAGTCTAAAGTGAGGAGATTAATCAGGCATGAGGAACATTTCAACAATTCTCTAAGAAAATTTTATAAAAATAAGAATTCTGATTTCCTTTTGGGAGAACCCTTTTTTACCATAAGGGGAATTGGAAAAAGTGAAATGAGGAAAAGTCTTTTTAAAAGAAAAGAATTACACCCATGTTCTGAAAGGGCAACAGTAAAATGGCATTATTCACAGTCATTAAAGTTTGAAGGAGAAAAACAAAACTAACAGCTATTATGTCATTCTCTTCACCTGGGCTTAAATCAGGGCATGTTCCCCTCACACCCCTGCATTACCTCAAGCAATTTACCAGAAAAGGAAAACGGAAAATGCGTGTTCTTGAACTTCCCCAGAGTAGGTGTAGCAAACCCTGCACAGTTATCATTCAGCAATTACGATGCTCTAGTTTACTTTTAAAATAGCTCAGCACCGCACATGCGCAAGAAGTGGGCCTAGATGCAGCGGGAGCACTTCCTTTAATACGAGCACGTTTTCCCTAACAGCTTCCCTCCACTGCCTCGTGTTTCTCCTTCACAGCCCTACACGATTCTCCACAGAAACATCCCTTCAGCAGTGACAGCAGCAAAATGTTCCCCTGTGAAAAGGCACATCTGAGAGTCCCCCATCTTTATTCTCTTTAGAACAAGGCAGAAATATTTCTTTCAGAGTAGCCATCCAACACCTGAATGCTTTTAATACGTTGCAGTGAGTAATTTAATTTGTTTTTTCAGAAGGCTTGGAGTTAAAAGCAACACGAAGAGGAATGACGGGATGAGACAGACGACAGACTTCTCCCCAAAGTTAAAGCCTTTACATCCAAACCCCCTAAATTCAGGAGGTCCTCGAAGATGAGGAAAACATATCGGGAAGTGAGTTTCAGAAAGGACAGTGATCTGACCGAGATCGAGCAGGGGTAAGTCTGGAATGTGGAGACGCTCAGTTCAGAAGTCCTCACACTGTCAATTTTCCCCCCGTCCTATCCCAGACAAATGTTCACCCAAGATACCCCTTGTTCCCAATAACACAGGCTTGCCAAAAAAGAAAAGTAATTTAAAATATAGATCTCGATTCATTGTCTCTGATTACTAGATAACCGTAAGTCTTATACAAAATGATTCCAGCAGTATGTGGTATTTATTTACATCCAACCCTTGTTCCAAAAATAGCTGGGTATGTCTTAGGGGAATATGTAGAGTACAGCCAGCTAAAAATAAACACCATAGGGAAACTGCTGCCAAGGAGGAAAAGAGGACAGGAAAATCAGCCTATTTAAAGAACCCACAGTAGGATGTCATGGAAAGGGAAAAGAAGCATCACTATTCCAAAAAGAATCTTCTGGATGAATCATCATATACCAAAAGGTAATTTATATATATGGTGGTTTAGCAGCAGATATGTTAAACAGCAAATAAAGCAACGCATTAACAGGGATCCAGCAGAAATATGCTGTGGGTTCAGATGAAATGCTAATAACAGTTTGCAAGAAGGGACGAGGCACAAACTTTCCATTAGAATGTCTACATGTGTGATTTAGGTTTCTACAAGCTTTTCAAGGTTAAGAAAGAAAGGAGGAAAACATGAAGAGTGAGAGAAGCAGAGGACAGAGGGATGAAGATGGGTACAGTAATGGGCCAGAGGAAACAAAGACAGGTTGATGTCAGCCTAGGCATTGTCTATTAAACATCTGAAAATAATTTATTACATAATTGGAAGCTCAAATTCATACATCACATGGACTCAGTTGCGCTTTTGTTATGTTATAATGTAATATGGTGTAAATCAATTGGCTCAGAATTTAAAATTAGAGCCCAATTACCTGTGTAAGAGAATCATAAATCCAACTTGCATTTTTCTAACAGGGTTAACAACTCATGATGCCAGCTTAAACTCAGGAAAATCAATTTTCCAGGCTTAAGAACAATTGCGCATGCTGTTTCACCACCCTGCCCTAGTGACTAGGTATAAAATCTGAAAGGAGTGGACAGTTTGGGGGAGGGAATAAGCCTAATTTAAAATATATATGGGGAGAATGCTACTCAAAACACCAGCCACAGGCCAGGTAAATCGGGATGAGGACCCTGCTGCTGGTCAAAAGTGGGACACCTGTTGTTTGTTGATGTATCAGAGGAAGAAAGGTAAAGCATTCCTAGTGCTGTTACTGTTCAGCAAAAGTTCCCCACAACTAAAGAAGTGGGATGAAATACCAAGTGCAGGGAAAGTCTCTCACCAAAGCTTGATCTTCTGGCGTGGTCACGCTGGCACTCAGCCAGAGTCTCCCTTCTCAGGAGCTGTCTGCTGACCTCTTTTCAGCTCCACTCGGTGACGGGCAGGCACAGAGGGATAAAGCTCGACCAGCGTCAGAGGAATCAATGCTATCACCTTAGCAGAGGGCTGTTTAGCATGTGTATGTGAGTATTTGTCATGCATTCTGATATTGATAACCCATTTCCATACCGTTCTCCTTAACAAGTAATTGAAGAGGGATACAAAGATATACATAGAAAGTGCCCTGCAGCACTCTTTCTAAGACGGAGCCAACCACAGGTTAATCGGAGGAGATGATTTAAGCACACTATGCTTCACCCGTGTAAACCAGCACTCTACTGGAATTATAAGTGATGGTGTAAAAGTCTATGGACATGGCACAAGGTAAGAGAAAGCAACAGAATATTATGGGATGCATTAACTTGGGGTCTGAGGGGGTGAAGAAGCGAGAAAATACTTCCAATAAGCTTGTTGAGCAAGCTTACTGCTATTGTGTTAGGATGGTGACACGCTTTTTAAAAGGTATTTTTATGTTGTATTAGGTCTTTAATTTTAATTTTCTGAAATAGGTCGGCATTTCCTCAGCCATCTGAAAAAAACAGCAATCTTTTTTAAAGTAGGAAGGAGAGGAGGAGGAGCAGCCATCAGGGAGCACCGGAAGCCGGCGCCCAGGAAGCTCTGGTCACACAAGGTGCCGGCACCTGTCCCGCAGAGGCTTCTGTGTGGCCACCGAATCCCGCTGACTGCTACACTTTAGTGACACACGTTACTGAAGAAGAGAAAGGGAACCAGCTGCAGCAAAATTCATCATTTGTCTATATTATCTTTACGGCTGGGGCCCGCCCGAAGGTGCTTCTGAGAGCAAATATTATCCTTTCTACACTTAAAATGCATCTAGAAAATGCAGCAACTGTGCCTTCTTCCACCTTGGCTCTGTCAGTGCCTCCATTTTCTCATTTTCTAAATAAAATGTACAACTATTAGTTCACAAAGGCAATGTTGTCTGTTTCAAGCACAGAAATTGTCATCAAAATGTACCATTACAAGGTGTCCCTCTCACTCACTCAGTTTTGCATCTGAGGGTTTTCATCTGGGCTACAGCCGGGCAGGAATGCAACATTAGACTACGAGACCTGGAAGGACCTTAGCGATCATCCAATCCAATGCCCTCGTTTTTCACACAGGAAACCTGTCACCAGGTGAGCCAGCGTGGACAAAAACAGGAAGTCTGACTCCCAGCTCACCGTTAGCTCCGTGTCTCTGATTCCTTCAAAGATGCGACTGCAGCTTCCCCTTCCTAGAGAATCTGAATATTTATTTAGCCAATGTTCACGTAAATTCGACTTTAGACATCCGTTGTGAGATATAGAAAGAAAAAGCAGCAAAGCTCAGATACTATGCCATTTAGCTTGCCAGATGCATCACAGAGATACTTGCAGTAATGGAAAACACTTCCTATACTACTTTATACAGTCCACTCGTGATTTTGTGATACAAAAGGTAAAAAGTTCACAGGAAAAAAAGCATGTGGGTCATTTGGTGACATTTTTAAAAGGTTTACTTTCAGAGACACAAAATTTAAAGTATTTTTCCTTTTTTTCCCATCAAAGCCAAACATACATACACTATAAAACATCTGGAAAATATAGCAAAACATTAAGAAGTAGAAAAAACTAAGCCTCACACAATTCAACCAGAATAGAGATCACAGTTAAAATGTTAGTTTTCCTCTCCTTTTTCAGTGATTGAGATCTCACATATTTTTAACCTGTTACACCTAAGCACCGTACCATTTCATTAACTAGTTCATCAAAAACCACAGGACCAGTGAAGGGATGAAAAGAAAAGACCGTAACACCGTTTTCCCCATTATATTTTATATGGTCTTCATCCTGTTAACAAAATGTTCACGCAACTCTCTGTATCCGCTGATTCCAAGTATCTGCCTAACAAACTGTTGAAAATAAAATGAAGAGCAACGTGATATTTCTTTGGCATGTGGCACATATAAATACCAAACTCACTTTTCTAAGTTCACAATAATGGACTGAATAAACTTCTTCAACTTCGTTCCCACACAAAGGACTTTATAAAGGAATACAAAAGTGTAAACCCGTAATCATAAAGAGAAAGAGAAAGATGTTAGAAGATGATTTCAATATAAATTTGTTGACGTATGAACTGTAGCAAAGAAAACCACAGCCTGAAAGAGGGTTGCAGCAAAAGCCAGCAGACCTCTGAGGAGCAGAGTCAGCCCTCAGAAATAAAAGGTGGAAGAAGCTGCCGTGCCATTCCAGAGTCTGAGTATGTAACTGTAGCCGCCTTCCCTGCAGCTCTTCATGTAGGCAAACACGAGCTTGTCTTGCTGACAGTAAGAAGGGTCTGCAGGGAACTTGAACAGTTGTCATGGCAAGGGGGTGAATTCTTTCTGCAGTACCAGCCCCTGCCCCTGCCATATGCCCTTGTACAAACCATGAACTGAGACCCTTCAAGCCTACTGCTTACAAGACCACCCACCAAAAAATAACTGCAAAGCAGCCTTCTGGTTGTCTCATTCATTTATATACATCACATGCAAACCATGAGAAATCTAATATGCCAGAACCACAGAAAAGAGAACGGGCAAGGAAACAGTAGGAAGCCTGACACTGGAGAAAACAGGAGTTGTAGGAAAAAGACTTTACCAGTCAAATCTGCTCAGTCACCTCAAGCAAGAGATGAGGTATTTGGCAACTACAAAAGCAAAAACGGGATTCTAGAAAATGGGAATAACATATAAGAAAGATCTCTTGAGATTGAGATGACTGCTTAAATAAAAATTCAGTAGACAGTTTGAGGGCAAAGTTGGAGATGTATTTTAGAATATAGACTAAATACACAAATATGTGTGGGGAAATAGGATATAAGGACAATCAATTCAAAAGATCTAGGAATCAACTAACAGGATCTTCAGAATGAGAAAAAAAACTGGAATGAAGGAAATAAATCAAGAAATTACATTACAGAATTTCCAAGAATTAAAAGGAAACATGAATCTTCAAAATCTAGGCATCTACTCAGTCCCAAGAAGAATGAACTGTGAAGCATTAGCAAATCAAGAGACATTCTCAAGAGCATTCTGAGTAGACAAAAAAGAAAAACTGCTAACTTTACAAGGACTCAGTAAGTTCACCTCTCATTCAGCACTTCGCGAACGTTACTAGCAAAATGAGAGGTAAGTGAAAGAAGGAAGTGAGTGAATGAGGAAGTGAAGGAGAGAAGGAGGGAAGAAGGAAGGAAGAAGGAAGGAGGAAAGAGGGAGCAAGGAAAGGATAAAAGAAAGCCAGGGGCCAGGGAGCCCAACCTGGAGGGCTAAGGGTAAATCCCAGGGTGACTCTACACAGCGTGCCAGGAAAGCAATGAGTCCAAATGAGAGTAAAATGGAGGTCTGTTAAAAAAACAAAAATAAAAGCAAAACAACAGAGAACCAAATGAACACAGACTATAATTATGAGTTTGGAAAAACTTTGAAGACATGATTGAAGCATGTACTTTGAAAAAGCAACAGGACAATAGAAATACCTGTAATATCAAGTGAAAATAAGTTTGCAACAAAGTCTTGAAATGTACATCACGGAAACTAAAAGACAGTTTGACAAAATAGCTGAAAAGAATAGACTAGATTTGAACCTGTTTGTGGACACACTCTGCTGTGGGGACCACAGAGTGGTGACACTGTAACCACCGAGAACATATGGTCTTAACTAAGTCATTCAGCCAAGTTCTGATGATGTAAATACTGTCATCATTTTCAGCTTTGGAAAAATCACACGAAAGTCTGCTCTGGAGACAGAAAAATTTAGTGAAGCCTGGTAGTGTGAGAAGAAAGGGGTAGCTGAGTGAAAATGGAAAGCCTGAGAGGAGGAAGAGCAGTAAACACAAAGCCACATGTCTATATTTAACCTTGTCGTGTGGAGGGAGGAGACACTGACTGGTTTGAAGGACTGATAAGTGGAAGGTTAAGCACAGTTTAGAAGTGGCAAAAGCCAAGAATAATGTCACATTTCAGTGAAAGAGTGTGACAAAGTTGCTAGAAGTCAGCTAAATCTTTCTTGTTTTTAGAAGAAAATCAATAGATCATGTAAAAAAATTAATACATATTAATTAGCAATTTGGAAATTAAACGAGGAAGAGGTCAAAGTGGCTGAGTTTGAGGGACACAGACAGTGGGAAGGCTGGAATTGGGAACTACTATTTCACATTGTAAGTGCTTCTAAACGACTTGATTTTAAACTATGTGCTGATATTTTCTTTCATGAACAAACAAAACATAAAAGAAACTCATAAAAAGAGCAGGTGCATTATGACGAGCTCTTTTACTGACAGCAAATGAAACAAGGGAGCCTGGTGCAAAGCTCTCTTCTAAGCCTCTGAGCAACTCTGAAGAAACAGAGAGTGTAGGATAACTGGATTTATTTCTAATGAGGAGAGAGCAAATGCAGTATACGGAAATGAGAAACATCAGTTGTCCCCAGCAGAACAATTAAACTTTCATTAGGACTTAACGACAGGATGACATTCTGTCATTAAGGGTGAACAGGAGGGGAAGGACATCCCCTTCGTTATCAAATCAAACATTACCCAGTACCAACAGGGCCTCTTTCCCTTATCCTGGATTCTGCCAGCACTCTCCCCACCCTGAAGTCCCATCCTGACCCTAGATCAATGTTGGGGAACCTTTTAGAGCTCTCAGTGATAACAAACAGCTGGCTGCAGCACGTGTGCCATAGGTCTGCCACCACTGCCCTAGATAAAGATGGAAATTAAAATTTCCCTAATGCCAACCGCGTGGTCTTTCATCCCTCCAAGACTGCTGCCTCCTAGCTGCTTCATGCTTCTATCCCAAACTGACGGTGAGTGTGCGTTTGAATACACGCCCAGGAACTTTTCCCAGACTGTGTTTTTGAATGGGCTCATTGCTTGAAGGCTGGCGAGACACTAGCGATTCCATGTTGGTGTCACTACACCCATCTGTCCTGCAGCCCTGGCATCCATGTTATTTAGAACAGCCTGGGTAAACTTATTACTACGCCTTGTGTTCCCAGAGAAGGCTGGTTCTGAGCTCAGTTACGATGCCTAGCAGTTTAAACGATAGCCACTGTGCTATAATCTAAAATAAATTGCTTTCCTCAAGAAACCATGTAAGCTTTGGCACTGCAACTTACCAGAGCTGCTGGTTTTATCTCATCTGAAATTCAAGCAGAGTACAAAAGCTAGACCTCTGAACTCCTGTCTTTACCTCAAAAGGCACGCTTCTGCCCTTCTGGAGCTCCCTGTTCACCCAGAATTCCTCTCCTGGAGCTTGATTTATCATAAAGCAACACAGTGTTTCCATGTTTGATGCAGGTCATCATTTTATTTTTCTTTTCTACCTAAACCGCTTTTGTAAGAATTTAAAACACTTTTGTAAGAATTACCGTATTACGGGGGCCGAGATTTGTCTTCCTGATCCTACAGCTGGAATGCTTACCCGCCACAGGCAGCCAGTGAGAATATCCGCACCCAAATGCATCACGGCACCTTTCACTCTCCCGCTTCCTGCTACAGGGAGAAGCAGGAAAAGCACAGAGATTTGTGAAGAGTTCGGAATGTTAAGTGAACGTTAATTCTGCCCTTCTCTACCTACAACTTTCCATTAATTTTTCCAAAATCCCACCGGCCCAAGCTCACAAATCTGTTTCCTCTTGGCGCACCCAGAATGAGGGCCCTGGGAAAGGCACATCTGTCTCAGCACTTCTCTGGTGGAGGCGGTCTCTGATCCCTTAGAAGCCTTTCCACAAAGGCAGTTAGAAAGGTTTCCAGCGCTAACTACATTCTTTCAGATTTTACAAGGCAATATAATTAATGCTGCTGTTTTCCTGCCAGTCAACAGGAGAAAATTGCTCTTCAAAAAGATTTTTTCATGTTTTCAAAAATAATTGATTAATTCTTTTCCCCTTCAAAT